GTAAGCTGGGGGAAAAAGCACGGAGATTAAAAAGTTTTTATCCCTGAGAATCAAAGTAAAGATAAGAAATCCTATTTTGAAAAGAGCTTAAAAAAACTCTTATGTCTGATCACTGATCCTACAAACTACTATAACTAGAAATTACAAAAACAAACTAGAAATTAAAAAAGCAATTGAGAATTAAATCTGGGTTAATGTCTGGTTATTTTATCACAATTACAATTAAGACTAAGCTCTAAACCCTCTAGAGTCATGTAACCCTAACACACATTAGCTACAAACGCCAAACAAATAATTACGATTTAATCTTAAGATGTGGCATGTTTTACGGGGTAGATCTTTTAGATTATATGCTGAAAGTTTTATTTAATCCCTAATTTAAAGATTAAACTATTATTGGCTTGTGATAAACACATTACATGTAATTGAAACCCAGTTAACCAAGTGTGTACAGGTGGCATGTATTTTTTATGACTGTAATCTATAGGCTTTGAATCTAATAAACCAGACAATAAATCGAGCATATCACCAAATGACACGAATCAGGAGATTTTTTTTCCATTTCTCTGGGTAAAAAAAAAAAATACTCCATTCTCAAATTAGTCTCTGCAGTTTATGTCCCTCGATCCTAACTGCATGTATTTAGATATCCTTCCCCAACCATCATTTCACATCCTTATCAGTATTATTGCCAACTTGATGCTAACAATGTGTCTTGCACACCAGGTCGGCAGTGTTCCCCCCGGGGCGGTGATGTGCTGGTCACTGTGAGGACTGATGGGCGAGTCGACCTCTCAGGACAAGCTGTCACCATCATCCAGGGACATGTTACTCTATACATCTCGGTATATATATAATATATAAAATTATTATATATATATATATATATATATATATATAAATATATATATATAAATATAAAGTATATATTATATAATATATATAAAATAAATATATATATAATAATATATAATAATATAAATATAAAAATAATATAATATATATATAACCAATTCTGTTAGTAAACAGTTTTAGCACAGTGTATTGTTTCATTTTTCAAGGCATTTCTGACGGCTCAGAGCATATATTCGGGGCAGTGTTTTGATGCCTGTATACAGTACATACTTCGATGCACACGTCTCAGGCTCCTTTCCTGAAGACAATTCCCCGTCCCTGAAGACAAGACCCCGTCCCTGAAGACAAGAAGGCACTGTCCCTGAAGGCAAGGTTGCCCCGCCCCGTGGAGGCGCAGAGGCTCCTCCCCGTGGAGGTAGTGAAGCCCCGCCCCGTGGAGGCACCCAGGAGAGCTTCACCACGCTCAACCTCGCAGTTTCGAGCCAAGTTTTCTGCGATGCGCACGATCGAACATTTTTGACACTATTTTATTTACGAACTTAGTTTTAAGGTTATTTATTACGAATGTATTTTTTACGTGTGCCTAGTGTATCGTTTAAGTGTTTAATATTAGTTATCACAGACGTGTGAGTGTCAAGTGTCTTAACGACCAGGTGAGTAAACACTCAGCCTCGTAGATCTTATTGTATCTTATTTTTGTTAGTATGGAGACGGTTGTATATACCGAGTGGTCTTTGTCTCTCAGTATATATATATATATATATATATATAATATTTTATATATATATATATATATATTATATATATAATATATATATATATATATATATATATATATATATATATATATATATATAACTGGAGAGATTAATCCCTGTTATTAGGTATTGAAAGTAATTCTGACTGTTGGCAGAAGGTTTGTTCAGTGCTAATGACTCATGTTGATAATCTTGAAAGTCAATTAACTATAGAACTTGGAGTGAACACAGAGAGGTATATACATTTCCCTTGGTGCAAATACAAAAATGTATATGTGTGTGTGTGTGTGGTATACCTTTGGGTATATTCAACCGAAGTTAAAGTATACAGACCAATATCTAAACTATAATAATAATAATAATAAAATAGAGAACGTGATCCACAAGCAACATAATGCTCTTACACCTTGCTAGAATGGATTCAGAACCTCTCAAAAAGTATTGCTGATGCGAATAAAAGAATCTTTGCAATAGATTACGCAGCAATCAGAAACAAGTGTCCTCCCGGACCTTCACGTTTTTCCGCGTAAAACTTTCAAGTGCAGCTGACTGCTGTGTTATTCCTCATACTTACCAAAGGACCCCAAGACTGCTGTGTTATTCCTCACTAACTTACTCACCAAAGACTCCCAAGACTGCTGTGTTATTCCTCGTTAACTTATTCATCAAGGACTCTCAAGACTGCTGTGTTATTCCTTACTAACTTACTCATCAAGGACTCCCAAGACTGCTGTGTTGTTCTTCACTAACTTACACACCAAGGACTCCCAAATTCTGTTGAACAAACAACAACAACAAGCAGTTATACATGGTACTGCCTCAACTACCCAACCAATTAGGTATCCCCGAGGGTAGCATCCTGGGCCCCCTCTCTTCCTTCACTATACTGAACTTAACCTAGTAGTGACTAGGATAACATACACTGGTAGTAACTAGGATAATATACACTGGTAGTAACTAGGATAACATACACTGGTGTTGTGGAAAATACTATATATTTTCCTGAAATACAGTATATGTAAATTGATGGCCTATATTGTATTTAATAAAAATTGTTATAAAAATGGGAAGCCCTGCGCCTGCGCAGAGAGACTCGTCATTTTTTTGAATTGAGTCAACACAAACGTTAGTGAATAATCGGAAGAATTTTTGTGTTCTGAGGTTATATTGAGCTTAAAACCTCTCAAATAGGAGCCGAAATTGTTGGATGTGTATTTCTGCATAAGTTGAGCATTAAACCGATGTACAGGGCAGCTCCAGGAACCTCAGATAAGTCTGTTTATGTTAAATTTTGGCCAGTAAATTTATAAATGTAGGCAAAAAGGGGGGTCCAGTACATGACAGAGTAATCTCCAGTCAAATTGGTGAGTAGTATTAAGATATATATACTCCTTCTGTTATATAACTGTGCATATGTAATCATTTATTAATTTTAATATACAGTCCACAAATTTTTATATTTACCAGAATTCCTAGTGATGCATATTTCATTTGTAATTAATAGGTCTTGAGCAACTTGTGGTTATGACAGTGGTAGGTATCGAAGGGAGACATTTTTTGCTACCTAGGTGTCCCAAATTCCTACTTGTCTCGGTAACTTTGATAAATAATAATGATCTTTGTTACAATTTACTGGTATGTACCTTATTTTATGTCCAGATAAATGTAATTTTCCACAGGTATTGACTAAGATAACATACACTGGTAGTAACTAAGATAATATACGCTGGTAATACCTAAGATAACATACACTAGTAGTAACTAGGATAACATACACTGGTAGTAACTAAGATAATATACGCTGGTAGTAACTAGGATAACATACACTGGTAGTAACTAATATACGCTGGTAGTAACTAGGATAACATACACTGGTAGTAACTAAGACTACACTAGTAGTAAATAAGGGTAAAACGACTGGTAGAAAATGAGATAAAACAATAGTATAACTGGAAAAATAAATACCTGGTTTGGTAAAACTAGATAATATAAACCCGGGAGTAACAAAAGGGATAACAAAAAATACACTGGTAGTAACTAGGATAACATACACTGGTAGTGACTAAGATAATATACGCTGGTAGTAACTGAGATAACACACACTAGTAGTAACTAGGATAACATACACTGGTAGTGACTGAGATAATATACGCTGTTAGTAACTAGGATAACATACACTGGTAGTAACTAAGATAATATAAGCTGGTAGTAACTAGGATAACATACACTGGTAGTAACTAGGATAACATACACTAGTAGTAACTAGGATAACATACATTAGTAGTAACTAAGATAATATACGCTGGTAGTAACTGAGATAACACACACTAGTAGTAACTAGGATAACACACTAGTAGTAACTAGGATAACATACACTAGTAGTAACTAGGATAACATACATAGGTAGTAACTAAGATAATATACGCTGGTAACAATGAGATAACACACACTAGTAGTAACTAAGATAACATGCACTAGTAGTAACTAGGGTAACATACACTAGTAGTAACTAGGATAACATACATTGTAGTGATCACATTGCCATTAATAACCCACCACGTTTCTTTCTCATAACTGGACTATTAAGACAGAAAAACATTTCAGAGGTCAGACAATACTGGTAATGTTAACTGGGTATATGTGACGCCAAGGTGTCTCCCTGACACTGAAAACAAAATCCCTGTCTTGCCATTAGGCTGTAAATGAAATTTGATTTTTTTTTTTTTTTGCAAAATATGTAACCGTTTTGAAATCTTCCTGGCGCTGTATGGCCCATATGGGTTTAGATCTTTCCCGTGAATGCGATAATTTGTTATAAGGAAAGAAAGAACGCATTGTCACGGAACCAGCGGCTGGAGTTGCGACGGGCTGACGCTGGCGTCAGGGTTAAGATTTTCACGAGTGTAATTGGTGTGCGCGATGTCAGTCGCTTTTCCTGACTGGTACCTTCCTTGTTAACTATAGCAGAGAGTGAGCTGACACGTCGTGTTGCAGGGAATTATACGTACTTACGCTCTACGTCATGTTGCAGGGAATTATACGTACTTACGCTCTACGTCATGTTGCAGGGAATTATATGCAGATTCATACTTTTGTTTTTTTCCTCTTTTGCTTGGAATTGCATGAACTCTTGTTACGTGACTTGTATGGAGTTTCAAGAAATTTTTTATCGTCTCCTAGCTGGGAAATAACTTTTTTGAGAGTGAGTGCTCTATATATGATGTTAAGAATAAAAAAATATTTACAAAAACAACTACTACTACAATAATAATAATAATAATAATTTAAAATATATATATATTATATATATATATAATATATATATATATATATATATATATATATAAATATATATATATATATATATATATATATATATTTATATATATTCTTATTAACACATCGACCGAGTCCCACCAAGGCAGGGTGGCCCGAAAAAGAAAAACTTTCATCATTCACTCCATCACTGTCTTGCCAGAGGGATGCTTTACACTACAGTTATAAAACTGTAACAGTAACACCCCTCCTTCAGAGTGCAGACACTGTACTTCCCATCTCCAGGACTCAAGTCCGGCATATATATATTATATATTATATATATATTATATATATATATTATATATATATAATATATATATATATATATTATATATATATATATATGTTATCGTGATAACTTGAGCAGTTTCTTCCTTCACTAAGAACATAAGAAAGAAGAAGCACTGCAGCAGGCCCATTGGCCTATATGAGGCAGGTCCAACTGGCCCACGCGAGGCAGGCCAACTGACCCGTGCGAGGCAGGTCCACTGGCCCATGCGAGGCAATATTAAAGGTGTTTAAGGGTAGCCGGAACATGTATTAAGGAAGGTCTTAGGCGTTCCCACGACAGGTGTTAAGGGCTTCTTAGTGTAGTTCCTGAACATTGGCGTAATGGCACTCTTAAGGCGCAAAAATGCCATTAAACTTTTTTAGTGACCACGTCAGTGTTGCTAGCAGTGGTAAGAAGGCCCTGTTGTGTTGGGCTTTCTCCTGTTTGGCACTCCTGCCTGGCACTCCTGCTTGGCACTCCTGCCTGGCACTCCTGCTTGGCATTTACTCACATAGCCAAGCACAACCTGCTCAGTCTGCACCTAAAGACTCCTGCTTAACACTGTTTGGGATTTCTGCTTGGTACTTACCACACAGTCAAGGACAACCTCTTCAGTTTGCCATATTTGAGTAGTCTTGGCACTCCTGTTAGGCACTCCTTGGCACTCCCATATGTCACTTACCACACAGTCAAGCACATCCTAGGCAACACAGCCTAGAGTAAAATATATCTGGCGTACTGTGTTCGTGCCTCAGAGGCAACGTAGCAAATTTATCGACCACACTTAATTCTTTATGTTAATGCAGTTATTATTATTATTATTATTATTATTATTATTATTATTATTATTATTATTATTATTATTATTATTACTAAAAACACTGTAAGCTCGCTCAGCGGAGCTTTTGGTCATGTAAGCCGCCTTTCGGCTGGGTTACCAGTCCACCTCATCATAAGTAACTATTACGTGAAGTACAAGGTGTGAAGGTAGGTTGTTCCACCCCAGAAATGTCACTACGAGCCACAGCTGAGTATAAACACGTGTTCCAGGAAGCAGCTGTATCATCACAGGTGTTTAGCGTCAATAAAGAGTAGAACACCGGCCCTACACCTGTGATTACAGGTGATGTATTACTTCCTGCCTTTGCAACACTGCCGTGCAAGTGCTTAACACCCCTGGAGAAGATCTTTTCACGTCGGATACTGTCTTATATGTCAGCGACAGTGACTATGGTATGTGATTTCAAGGTAACAACTATAGCTTGGGTTGCTTACAGGGTTAATTATAATGGCGATGATTTCAAGGAGTAACTGCGCTGACGGTGGGTTCAAGGAGTAACTGCGCTGAAGGTGGGTTCAAGAAGTAACTGTGTTGACGGTGGGTTCAGTGAGTAACTGGGCTGACGGTAGGTTCAAGGGGTAACTATAGCTTCAGCAGTTTCAAGGGGTAACTACAACGTCGGTGATTTTGAGGGTGTAACTATGACGAGGGTGGGTTCAAGACCCTTCATGTGGGATACAACAAAGAAAGTCACTTCACGTTTTTAGAGAGGAATAACAGTCGTCAGTCCCGTAAAAAAAGACTATGTTTAGAACTGTAAGTAGTCGGCAAATAAAAGTTTGCTTGTGTTTTTAACATTTCTCGACAAGTCTTACCATGAAAGAGGTGAAAAGAAGCATAAAATTGAAGTATACTGAGAGGTGTATGTTTCTCAGTGTGTACATACAATGAGGTTTATTACATATTTTATGGCATCATCATCGACACCATGCCTAACCCTTCTAGGGTAGGGTAGGTGCCTGAGCCCGAGCCTTTAGCTCATAAGACTGTCATTCCCATTTGCCCCCTTGGGGCGGGGATGGCAGACCAGAGAGGCCTAGCTTGTGGCTAGGCCTGGGGACAGTTGGTCCCAAAGATGAGGAGGTACTTGTGCCTCCTCCCATGGGAGACTTAGGTCTCAGACACTCCCTAAAGAGGGAGCCAAGGCCGGGCCACCACTTGGAAAAGGCCTGGGCCGGGAGAATACCGGCTAATCTTTAATAATAATAACATATTTTATGGGTTAAAGTATTTTTGTTTGATAATAAATCAAAATCAAATCAAAGTTTTCATTTCTTTGTACAGTAAGCAATGTGTAGTTTACATGTAACATAATATTTTCAAGCACGAAGAAAGCCACTTTCATGTATGAACATTTCGGTCATTTTGGTTTACATGAAGCCATAATCACCGTCGTGTAGTCGATAGGCTTTAAAATAATCAATCAATTCTGTGTTCTCCTAAAAGAATTGAATGTCACATTACCGTGACTGGAACAATACACAAATAACCCGCACATAAAAGAAAGAAACTTATAACAACTAAAGTTTTTTCTGCTATGTGTGGGTAATTTTGTATTGTGTTATTGTTGCTAGACTCTTGGTGCTGGCGAAATAAGTATAAAGAAGGGAAAGACAGAAAAGACAAAAAAATATCAGTTTATGCTCAACCACCAAGTGTTCTCCCGTGGGGAGCTAATAACTATGATTAATCTCAAACTTCCACAATTTTCACCTCTACTAAACTCACTTCTCGTGTGTAGACACCTGTACGTTGCCTTCCCTGTGTTTCTAATTCACGACATCTCACTAACATCCTTCACTCTTCCATGTACTAAACTGGCAGTTCGCCCAGCTAATACACTTGGAGACATTCTGAATTATACTTCTGCCACTGATACTTCAGGTTCGTATTGGTGTTTTGACTGATAAATTTAGGTGACCAGTATGATAATGAGACACAGTATGCAGAGTAAATGTTTATATTATGTTGTTTCGCTCGATGACGTGATAAAGTCCAATAATGAGCGAAACAGAAAATTGTCTCTTTTTTCAGATGTCTACTCTGTTTCCTGTTAGGTAAATGGACACAGATACAACTTAAGAGACATTTACCTAACATTCTGTCGGTAATTCTACCATTATTACTGTGTTTCTTGCTTCACTTGCCCCCTCCAGCACACTGGTAAACCGGGCGGCTCTTTTCCGACAGCCTTAAGGAACATGAGAGAAGTGTTCACTTTGCTGACACTAACGAGGCTCCCTGCTGTCATGTTAGAGGTTATTGCTATCACTTAAGCTGGGTTT